CGCTCTGCAGAATACCTGAACACCAAAGCTGATCACTGATTATCATCCAGTCACAAGTCAGCCAACAGCACTAACCACGTGGTTTAACCACGGTGGTCAGTAGTCCTCCATCTTGGCTTTCTGGGTGGAGTTTATGTTCTCTTCAGGTACACCAGGCTCCTCCCACAGTCCAAACACATGCACTTAACGGGGTTAGCTTAGTCCCATTGAGACTCGGTGTACCGGAGACCTGTTCCACACAAACAAACAACAATAAAATGTTCACAGTCGTCTCAAAGACAAAAACATTTGTACGTCTGGAAGTCTGTCGAGGAGCTTCAGGTCCGTCTGTAACGTGGTCCATGAAGACGGAGCAGAGAAGGACAACGCCTTCTTCCTGAGCTCTGCACAAACCGACGGACCGACGAATGTGATCCTGAGAGTGCACTCTGTCAGCAAACTAACATGTACTCTGATAAGAGGGCAGTCAACCAGCAACAGGATTTCGTGTAAATCAGGGGTCCCCAATCCCAGGCCACGAGGGCCGGTGTCCTGTTTTAGATCTCCCCCTGGGTCAACACACCTGAATCACATGATTAGTTCATTACCAGGCCTCTGGAGAACTTCAGGACATGTTGAGAAGGTCATTTATCCATTCAATCAGCTGTGATGGATCAAGGACACATCTAAAACCTGCAGGGCCCTCGTGGACTGGGATTGGGGACCCCTGGTGTAAATGATGTCAGCGTGATCCAGGAAAGTGGCAGCAACGAGTCTTTTGTTAAAGTGAAAGAGAAACGTGCCTTCAGCCTCAGTTTCTTTAATAGCTGGTGACGTAAAGGAAGGACGGTCATCAGCACCGAGGACACAGTTTCAGTGACATTTAAAAACATCATCACACAGCAGTCATACAGTGAACGGTTTGTCTGCTGCTGCACCTGTCCAGGTGTACCCCCACCCTCTGCACACGGCCATGTCTCCGTCCACACTGAGACGGTGTCTTCGGTCAAGGGAAGCAGATACTTTTGAAATGGAAACGATAACACATTTTATCATGTGATGCAGTCATGTGACCAATTAAACTAAGAGGGCCTTACACAGCAGCGGTTTTGTTTGACAGCCCCATTAAAGATGAACATCAGTCTGTACGTGCTGCAGAGAGCTCTTCCTCAGATTCTTTAATCCTTTTGCAACTCTGTACTTTTGTGTTACTCGCAGCAACAACTCCACCTCATCGTTAGTCCATTTAACAAACTCGCTGCTTTTCCTCAACATTCTGCCGCGATGTTTCAACGAGCCGGAAAGTAAATAAGCAGCAGACAGAAACGAGGCCGAATCCTCTTGCGTTGTATGCAGGACTGGAACGTTTTCGACCGTTTCATTGTGGATGAACAAGTGTTTATAACGACTGAAAACAATAGTGTGGAGCGTTTTTAGATGAATGTTTTCAAATGTGTTCGCATTAGTGCAGCCTAAGGTTTGAATGGTTATAAGGAAGCGTTCAGGTGTGTCCCTCCCTGAGTTGGCACTTTCTCATGCATCTATCCATCTTCTGCCTCGGTAGTCGAAGCAGACACCTCTTTCCCTCGCTCATTAACCTGAGATACCTGAACTCGCCCACTCCTCCTGACCCATTCACCCTTTTTCATGAACTGTGATGTAGCCGTCACCATGATTGGAGGTGTTAGTTCTCATCTGTGGTGCTTCACACTCGGCTGGATGCTGATCTGGATCACTGGATAAACCATTGCAAACACTTCGTCTGCAGAAAGCTGAGAGAGCAGCTGCCTGTGCTCATAGCTGTGTAGAGGAAGAAGGTGGGTCAGCAGCAACAACAGAAGTGTGGTTTTTCACAGAAGATACACAAATGATAAATGTTCAAAATGTATTAAACGGTTGACGGTCAGTACCACGGACCTCCCTCTGCCCAGCAGTCAAACAAGCCGTGACTGGTTAGAGAGTTTAAACTGAACACAGATGTGTAATCATCGATAAAGCACTAACAGAAGTGTCAGATCGTTTATGCATTTCTCTAGTTTGCATCCAGTTTGAATATAATGAGGAGGTGGAGTTTGGGGTGGATGGGCGTGCAGCAGGAATCCTGAGCGACCTCCGTGGTCGGAGCCGTGAGAGGTGGCGTGCTGGATTAGCTTGGCTCTGAGGAGCACAGAAGTGGCGAGGAGACAATTAGAGTGAGAGCTGAGGACTTAGCTGAGAGGCGGCGTGAGGCAGTAAAGCCTCTGTGATGGATGCTTAAATATTTCATGCTTGTTTTGGAGATTCCTTAAGTGCAGACGCACAGAGGACGCTAACAGGATCAAGTGTTCGTTTCAGGATTATGAGGGACACACAGCAGTGTGAGCACTTCATTTATCACATTCAGCTGGACCTCAGAGAGGCAGGAGGAGGTCATGGAGAGGAGCTGAGGCACGTTTGCTGCTTCGCGTAAAGCAGGGTCACGCTTTTGGACTAGACAGGTTCGTGGAAATGTCACAGCTTTGCACCGTGTTTCATATTTATATATTCATATAGATGAGTTAGATGTGAGAGATTAGCAGTCATGAATGATACCGACGGAGGTCGCGGGTTCGTGTTCGCCCTGAGAAACCTCTTCGGGTCTTTATTTGACCTGACTGTGTTGTCAGAGCAGGGTCAGATCCACAAACAGTTCATTTACACCGTCACCAGGTGCAGTGGTGGAAATCCAGGTAGGGGAAGCTTTCTCACACTCGCTCTCTTCTTCACACTGCAGCTAACACGTCCACGCGGCGGTTGGTCACAGGTCCGGGAAAACGACACACAAGACACATCGGTCACACAGAATCACAGATTAACACAAGAAAACTTCACTGAAGGCGCACTGACGTCTCGCACAATCATCCAGAGACTGTCTGCGTCCCAGCCTGATGGCCAACAGGTGTGTGGGCCGAGGGCGGGAGCAGTAAGCTCCACCCAGGCGGAGTGGCGAGAGAAGTAATCAAAAACACAGGTAGCCTTGCAGGGCAGACACGGGGACCGTGACGTGTTCGCAGGATTACTGTTAAACACAGCGGAGACGTTCTCAGGGGTCGAGGATCCCTCTGCAGACGTATCTTCAGATGTGCGCACCAGAAGAAACGAAGAGAAGCCGGGAGCCATCCAGCTTTGATGGAGAGACAAGGTTTGTTGTGTTGCTGACAGGCAGACTGACTGATGATCTTTGTTTTCATGAAGGATCATCTCTGCGCAGCACGCAGAGTCTGGATCTGTTTCTTCCTGGGACGCTCTTTAAGCTGCACGAAGGACTCGTTTGTCTTCAGTACTTGTGTTTCTTACCGTCGGCGTGCTTTTGCAGCGAAGCACAATCCTGCAGTAAATCATCAAAGCAGCCGAGCTGATGAAACTCGGTGCAAACGCAGTGCTGTAAAAATGTTTGTGAGAAGACACGACTGCCCGACGCTTCTCTGAGCCTCACCTGTCACTCTTTGTGCCCACGAGCACTGAACTCATGATCAGCATCTCAGGGTTTTTAACTACAGCAACAGAAGAGAGAGGAGGTGGAGAGGAGGGGAGATGTGAAAATGGGCGGAGAGCTCAGCTGAACACCATCAAATATTCTGTGTGAAGACTCCCGAGCTCCCGGCAAGACTCCAGCATGCACAGGGAAGGAGGCAGGAAGGAAGGACAGGAAGGAAGGACAGAAGGAAGGAAAGAACCAGGCGAGAGATGAAAGCAGCTGATTGGAGCTGGGAGGTGGAGCAGTGAAGAGCAGCAAGAGTGGAAAGGTGGAGGAGAAAATAAATGATAATGATAATAGCAGACCAAACGTGACCATCGTGAGAGTCAAAAACAGGAAGTTTGACCTCCTGCCGACGCACCTGCAGCGTCTTCCTCCACCTGTCTGGCTGCAGGTGAGGAGCAGTAAATTCATTTTGAGAGTGAAATAATCCAGAAGCACATAAATAGAAATTAAGATTTCCCTGGATGAATATTGTGACGGCTGAACGTCGCCTCCTTTGCCTCTCTCAGCCGCTCTCCACGAATCTTCATCTCTCAGTTTTGACCTTTAAGACCTGATTTGAACTTAATAAAGGCGACTTCCTGTGCAGGTGGAGGCGGAGGGCTGACAGGGATACATCAGGGAGGCAGCGAGAGGCAGGAAAGCATAAAAGAGTAAAAGACACAGATGTTGGGAGGAAGCGAGGAGCATCAGCTGAAACCGAAGCTGCAGAAATAATAAGAGGACTGAAGAGGAAAGGAGGCAGAGGAGGAGACGAGAGGAAGAGTGGAAGAAAGAAGGGGATGTGCTGAGGAGAGAGAGCGAGGGTAAAACTGAGGGAGGAGGTTTGACTGCACTGCGTTTTCTACACTTGGTTCAAAGTTGCAGCAGCCGATGCGCTCAGATAAGACGCAGGTCACATGACTCTCCGCCGCGTGCTTCTGTTTGTGTTTCCTCTACATGTCTGCCATCCTCCCGGTGGTTCCTAAGTTAAGGTTAAAAAAGCAGAGCTTGCCCCTCACCCGACTCTTCATCAGCCGCCTTAGACCTGGTTTTAGATTTAGGCTCAGGCTCGGCGCGGGCTCGGCGCAGGCTTACCGCGGGCGCTGTTCACAGGCTCAGACGGGTTGCTAGGTTACAAACCTGTCTTCTAGGTGTTGACAGCGCCTCCTGCTGTCTCTCAAATCACACACACGTGACTAAAGTGCGTCACGTGACGGTTCAAGTTTGAAGATGTCGCATTGAAACGCCGTCACGCGAGGGTCCGAGCTGAAGCTGGCGGTCACGCGGCCTCTGTGGGAGGTCACAGCGCTACGCGTGCCTCCTGCAGTCGGGCTGCAGAACAGCTAGAACGAGCGCTCCTCCTCATCTGCCACAATAAAAATCAAACAAACTAAAAAAAATGTTTTTACAAATTTGCCTCAAGTCCCTCCCCTTCTTGATTTTGATTGGTGGCATTGATGAAGTGATGGTCAGCGGTGGTGATCTGCTGTGTTGTCAGGTGCTTCACTGAGCTGTGTCTGAACTGATTCTTCTCACTCAGGTACACCAAGATGAAAACTGCCACCAACATCTACATCTTTAACCTGGCCCTGGCTGACTCGCTCTTTCTGGCTACGCTACCTTTCCAGGTACGGCATCATCTGCACGCGTGCAAACTGTAGGTTGACCAGCTGTTCCTTCAGGAGCTCCGGCTCTGTGACCCTGAGCAGTTGTGTGATTCTGCTTTCTGGATGTTTGCAGGGCACTGATCTGTATCTGGGCTTCTGGCCATTCGGGAACACTCTGTGCAAAGTGATGGTGTCCATCGACTACTACAACATGTTCACCAGCACCTTCACGCTGACGGTGATGAGCATAGACAGGTACGTGGCTGTGTGCCACCCTGTCAAAGCGCTGGACATGAGGACTCCTCACAAGGCCAAGGTACGTTTGATCCTAAAAGCCGCCGCTGTGACATCACCGTCTCGCTCCTATCAGAGGGAGGCGTTCGTTTAGTCTAAATCAGTGAAATGTTACGAACCAGCAGCTTTGCTGACCTTTCTGACTATAAACTGTCAGCCAGAGGAGTTGCCTCCTGCTGGTCGTTGTGTAGAATGCATGTAGAGGTTTTCTACGGTGTTTTGACTGTTTTTATAGACGTATCAGCACCTTAATATAAAGCCCTGATTGGCTGTAAACCCCTTAAAGGCTGAATATAAAATTCCAGTTTTCTGGAAATGGAGAGTTTATTGAACCATCTGACAAATTTGTTTTCAAATTTCCGTGTATGACTCTTGATTTGTGTAAAAGTGATGAAGTCTTAAAAACATTAAAGCGTTCATGTCTTCATGTGTTCAGGTGGTGAACATCTGTGTGTGGGTGCTGGCGTCCGCCTTCGGAGTTCCAGCGACGTTCCTGGGAAATGTGGAAGAGCACGAGAACAGTACGCCACGCGCACACACACGCACGCATGTGCACACACATGCACGCGCACACACACACACATCTCAGTTTGACCGAGGACCACAGGCTGCAGATCTGACGTGTACGCCCTGCACAGCTCCACGTCTACATAAAACCATCATCAGCTGCAGCGACCTGTTCCACGAGCACTGCATCTGCTGCACCGTAGGGCATTGAATTTAATCACAGCTTCGGGCTGTAGGGGAATTTAATCCTAATGACAACTACGAGTGAAACAGGGCTGTTAAAGCTGCAGCACAGCGCCCTCACTCCTCTCTGCTCCAGCGAGAAGCTCTGACTCTGTGATGTCTATTTCCTGCTTACAGCAGACAGACTTTAACGCTAGAACATGCAGACTGCTGTTATAAATGGCCTGTATTTGTATAGTGCTTTACACACACATCCACACACTGGTGATGCAGCTACATTGTAGCCACAGCCACCCTGAGGCGCACTGACAGAGGCGAGGCTGCCGGACACTGGCGCCACCGGCCCCTCTGACCACCACCAGTAGGCAACGGGTGAAGTGTCTTGCCCAAGGACACAACGACCGAGACTGTCCAAGCCGGGGCTCGAACCGGCAACCTTCCGCTTACAAGACAAACTGCCCACTCTTGAGCCAGGATCGGGTTAGCTATAACCCTAAGCCTGGCCTGCCTCCTTGGAGCGAGGGCCGAAGTGAAGCTGTTGAGTCACCGCTTGACCTCGGGACCAAAAGGATAAGATGGAGGAGGCCTCGAGGAGGGTGTGTGGATCAGCCAGTCAGGAGGAACTTTATGTGCCTCATGTAGTGATTGGTGCTCTCAGTAAAGATCCTCAGTCTCTTATCTCTCCTGAGGACACGTCAGTGGAACAAAGAAGAACCTGAAGTGAGGCAGAGGCTGCACTTCGCAGCGAGACGTGGCCGAGCACTGATGTGAACAACACAGATATCAGCGTCCCTGCACAGACTGCACCTTCAGATACTTCCATAGAGATGAATGAAATACAGCAACGTGCAGCTACACACTGCTGCCTGCAGAGAGGGTGTGATCAGTATCTGCTCTTCCTGCTGTCACTGCGCGCTGACTAATGCTGTTAACCAATGTCAGCATGTCTTTATCACCACTTTGACTGAATAATAAAGCAAATAAAGCAGAAGGCCGTGACACGAGGCTTTCGTTTAAAAGGAGGCTGCACACGTGCAGGTCAGAGTCGCCGTACCGGTGCAGATCACGGAAGACGCTGTTTCCAGCATCGTGTTTTATTCATGGATGCACTGCAGCAGCAGCTCTGCACCACAGCCCTGCATCTCGGGGTAAACTCATTAATCACAGGTTTGTCAGCCGGGAGGCCCGCGGAGCTTTGTGGCTGCTTTTCACAGTCACAGGAGAAATCCACTAAGGTTTTATACCTAAACTCTTAGAATCCACCAGGTTATATAATTTCAGATGATCACTGTAATAGTATAATAGATAACACTGAAGACAGGAGTAGCTTTTCAGTCGGACTGTGGTCCTAACGTCTCCGCGAGCTCTGGCAGGACACAGCAGACTGAGGATACAGGTGCCAGAGCCATTACTGCGCCCCTTCACAGGGAGGCGGGTGCTCAGGAAGGCCTCGTGGACGCCTCCTCTTAGACCTTTTCTCAGCAGACCCAGAACTCACTGGAGAGACCTCATCTCTGTCTTGTCTGGCTGGAAAAACCTGGATAGTGGAAAATACTGCACGGGAGGAGCCCAGCCTACAACTTCACTTTGGATAAGAAGAAGGAAGCTGGTGCACGGGCCTGCTGTGTACACATCGAGCAGGAGCAAGTTTTTGATGCTCACCGGGCTGGAAGAAGATTCTGCAGCATCTCTGAAGAGTTTACCCTCAACCAATCAGCACAGACTAATCAGCGATCACTCCCAGAGGAGGAAGCTGTTAGACTCTGAGCAACAAGGTGTGCAGATCAGGGCAGCCTGTCTGCAGACGTGTTCAACTTTACAAGGAGGGAGTTGAACGCTGTGTTTAGCATCAGAACTCACTTCATCAGGAACACGTGGCCGCGTGCTGCTTTAGGTCTGTCTGGGTCAGCGCGGCTCGCCATCGTCAGCATCCACCTGTGACGGGCTGGGAGCGAGACCATAAACCTGCTTGGTCGCAGCACTGCGGGAAGCCACGTGCACGGCTTTGCTTCAGTTCAGGATCAGGTTCTGTTCCCGTCCTCGTCAACTGTGCTGAGCTCAGCCCTGACAAGCTTTTCATTTTGGCTGTAGCTCAGGCGGCAGAGCCGGTCAGCCACTAATCAGGTCGGTGGTTCGATCCCGGGCTGCCTCCTGACTGCATGCCAAATATCCTTGGGCAAGAAAGTAAC